ATGGAGGGGCGCCTATGTGCATGTGCAAACTGAGAAAAAAAAATTTTTAAACCGCCGACGCACAGTCCCACGTGTCGGTTCGATAGATGCCGGGGAGCGACATAACTGCGCAGGGAGGCAGGATAAGGGAGGTAAGTGTGATTGCGATTATCCAGATCAAATATAATCTGGTTACGTTGTTTCAAGCATTGAAAACTTGTTGATGGTTTCATGTAGGATAATTTCAATGGGGTAAGGTACCAATGTGTTGCCTCTTCCCTCCTGATCCTGTTGAGCATCCTGCTGATGAAGGACATTGGGGGAAAGGTGTAAAGCAGGCTCTCGGGCCATGGGTGAGACAGTGCGTCCTCGCCCTCTGCTCTGGCCTCGTGAAATCTCAATAGGAACTCCCGTGTTTGGCAGTTGCTGGAGGTCGCTACTAGGTCCATCACTGGGACCCTGAACCTGCGAGTGACCTGAATGAATACTTCCCCTGGGTCCAAGTCTCTCCTGCTTAGCCAGTCTGCTTCCAAGTTGGCTAGGCCCCTTGTGGTGCTCCGCCTTTAGACTGGCTAGGTTCCTTTTCACCCCACCAGGAGATGCTTGGTTTCCAGGAACAGAGGTCTTGATCTGGTGCCTCCTTGGCGACTGATGCGGGCCTTTGTTGACACGTTGTTGGCGCGAACCAACACATGCTCATCCTGCAGGATCTCCTGGAAGGCCGAAAGTGACAGCCGGCCTTGGGTCACCATATTCGTGCAATGGGCTCCCCAACCTCTTTTGCTTGCATCTGTGGTTACTACAATCGGATGAAGATGAGTAAAGCTGATCCCTTTGGTAAGGTTCTTGGTCACCGTCCTCCACTTTAACTCCTTTTTAGGTTTCTCAGTATCTTGATCCGACTGTGTTTGCATCTTGATATGTCCCTCTGGGAGGGGCAGGAGACTCCACTGCAAGGCCGTGGGGTGGAACTGTACTCTCCATGAACTTTGTTGCTGTAGCTACGTCCTTTGCCCATATCAGGACGTCATCGAGATAGGGGTAGACGTGGATTTCCTCCCTGTCATAGCTTTGTCACCAGGACCACCGATCTTGATGAACACCCTTGGAGCTGAGGATAGGCCAAAGGGCAAATCTCTGTACTGGAAGAGGCTCCCTTGGTGGTAGAAGTGGAGGAATCGCCTGGAATCCGGGTGCACAGGGATATGGCGATAGGCCTCCTTGAGATTCAAGGAGGTCAGGACGTCTTCTTTTTGCAGGTTTAGTACTGCCCTCCAGTCCATGGGTCTCTTTGGAACCACAAAGAGTATTGAGTAGACCCCCTTGCAATGTTGATCCTTGGGGATCTCCCTCTCTCGTTCCTATTTGAGTCAGGTGTGGGATTGCTTGGCTTACTAGGCTTCTTTTCTCCCAGGATCTTGGGACTGGGATGGCGTAAACTGGTGTCTGTGGGGGTGAAGAGGTAAATTGTATCCTGCATCCATGATGATCGACAGCACCCATTTGTTGAAGAACTCCAGGCCCCTGAGAAGAACTCCCAATCATGTAGTTAAGCGGAGTGTTTTTTGACAGGCATACTTTTGTCCTGCCTGAATGGCATTTGTTGTCTCTGGTGGGTTTTGGACTGGTATTTTAAGGGACAAAAACCTCTGAAGCCTTTGGGATCTCTTCTGCATCCTGGTTGTCTGAAGTCTCGAAAGGACTGGAGAGCTCTGACTTTTGAATCCCTATTCTCTACTGGCCGAGGATGAAGGCATTGCCTGCTTCTTGTCTTTTGTCTCAACTAAGACCTTTCCAGGTTTGATTCTTCAAAAAAAAGTCCGCTGAGAATTTTTCTAACCCAAGGTTGTTTCTAGACAGTAGGTCCATGTTCCAGTGTTTCAGCCAGGTGTTTCATCATATGTTTATGTTCACCACTTGTGCCTGGACACAGAACTGAATGGTGTCCTGTGATGCATCTGATGCGAATTCATCTTAAGCAAGGGCCTCAAGTCCAGCAAGCTCATGTATGAGCTCTGTAGTAGATCATCCGGCCAGATGACAATTGCCCTTGTAAAACTTGAGAGCACTTCTGTTTTGTTCTTTCTGTTGACTGAGTCTTTTAGAGCATTCTCCCCATTCCTTGGGCAGTACTGCCCCGGAACGCAGTGCCGCTACCGGGGCATCCACCAGGTGCACCTCGAGGTCCTCCATCACCTCCTCTGGAAGGGCATAGTATAAAACTGCCTGGTTACAGACAAGAGCAAGCTGGCAGCCCCTGGCAGCGCCCATTCAGCCTTGATGACATCCTTGAAGAAATCCAGGAAGGGAGATATGGTTTGTACTCTGGCTGGCTTTTTAAAAACCTCTGCTGTCCAATTTTGCTGAGACAGATGACCTAGGCTTCCCTGGCACCTCAAACTGATAGTTAAGCATGGTAATCAGCTTGTTGAGGAGGCGTTGGAAACGTTCTGTCTGAAAAACCCTTGATGTGATTTCTTGCGTTTCTGCTTCCTCCCCTGACCGTTTGCCCTCTTCTTTGTCTGAATGGCCCTCAACCGAGGCGATCACCAAGGGCGAGTCCTCGCACTTAGATATGGGCGGGGCTAAGTGTCTTAGCCGCCTTCTGGTCTGGGGTGGCAACTTCCTGCCTCTAGGTCTGCTGCATGCGTGCGCGTTAACTGATGCCTTGTTGCCCTCAGGGGCCTACAAAGAGTGTGGCTCTGGATGCCCTGGTCTGGCTGCTGTTCTGGCCTGTTTAGGGGGGGGGGGAGAGAGAGTTCTGACCCAGATGATGATTGGGAGTCGCTTGGCGAGGGAGCCCTCCCCTGCGGGACTTTGTGCCTGCCTCTGCTGGCCTCCGAACACCCCAACCTCCTGCATCCATGCCACGAATGGGCCCGCCGGTGTTGGTGCGGATCCACCTGGGATGCTAAATGGGGTTTCCCATGCTGGCTGGAATGGCCGCGGTCCCCTGAAGGATACGGCCTGTGGAAAAGGGGGCCCGGCACCATGCTTTGTTTTGGTTGTGTGGGCAGCGCCACGTTTAAATCCACTCGCACTGCCACCGTCCCCTACTCGGGAAGGGCCTTTCGTTCCTAGAGGGAAGTCTCCCCTGCGCCTCCCCACTGCCCCGGGGGATTGTTGGGGGGAGGGAGTTGGCCATTGGCCAAGTTCCCTTGGTTCTTGTGAGGGGGGGAACCTCTCACCACACAGGCTCGCCAGCCCAAAGTTTCTCCTGCACTGCTCTTCCAGGTCGGGGGGCAGTTGTGCTGCTCGCGGCCAACTCTTCCGCACCCTGCAAGGCGAGGGAGCCGTTCCCCAGAGCTCCCAGTTGCTCTCCTCGTGCACCCAGCTGTTCCTCATTCAGCACGCTCTGCGTGATCCCCTCTCCTCCTCCCAAAGCCTCCTTCTGCCTTCTCCCTGGCGCCTCAGTGAGGGAGCAGTCACTCGAAGCCTCAGGTTGGTCTCCCTGCACGGCTAACCTTGCCACCTCTGGTGGGTTCCGTGCACCTGCTTCCCGAAGCTTTGGGTGGTGGGGGGCTCTCCTTTTCCTTCTTCCTCTTTTTGCCGTCACTGTCTGGGGGCACCTCCACTTGGTCCCTGTTGTGGCTCCATGCTTTATTTTTTTTAAAAACACCTTTCTATAAATCTCAGCCTTTGCTTCAAGTTTCTGGGCTTGCAGCAGAGCTCTAGCCTCCAACCTAAGCAGTAGAGCTATCCAAACTGGAGGGTCAGTCTTCAATCCCTCCGATAGGGAGACATGCAAAATTTGCATAGCCCTACCTGAGTGTGCAGATGCGTGACCTAGTCAGTCTTGGATGACTGCCCCACTGAAGGAGAACTATGAGTTTATTGTCCCCCTCTTGATTGGCCTGGTGAAAGTCACGGGCGTTCAGGGTGTTCTGCCTTAGATTTAGAGTTAGTCTTAGTTTTCCTCTCTGGCTACCTTGGCATATGCCACTGCTGAATAGTAGCATTGGTTTTAGGTTAATACTTGGGAGAGGGGTCTCTTATTGCTTTTTAGGATGACACTGGAGAACGTGAAAAGCCCCTCCAAGAGGTACAGACTGCCCCACCCTGGACTACCGAGAAGGAAGGTTCACCGCTAGGTGAGATAAATCTTCCATTCAGTGGCTCTTCTTGTCACATTTTTTAAGGAGGAGTGGGGAGAGAAAGGATATTTCAGGCCTCTGGAAGGCATTATCTGGGCAGGCAGAAATCAGGGCCTCAAATATTTTTTTTCCCTTTTTCCTCCTCTTCCCTTTTAAATGTCCCACCTGATAAAGAGAGCTCCACCATCTGGCTTTTGCTTTGGACCAGTGGAACCCCCTGCAGGAGCTCTCTCTCTTCCAGAACCAGGCTGCCAACGGGGGTGCAGAAAGCAGACTGGCACATTAAAAGTGGGCTGATAATGCCGTGAAACTGAGGATGTCTTTGGGGAGCTAGTCCAACTTACTTTACCCCCAAGCATAATGTGTGAATGCAACGTGAGTGAGTGGTGAGTGACAGTGATCTCTGCAGCAAAGACAGACCCCCCCCAACCCCAACTAAAGCAAAGAAAAAAAGAATCTCTCTTCGGCAGTGCTGTGTCCACTGGAGAGCAGAAGTGTTACCCTCTAGCACTGTGTGAAAACAAGTAAAGGATCTAATAAACAAATCGGGATTATTTATAAAGTAACTCCATGCTTCTGAGTGTTCACAGAATCAGCAGGATTAACCCCCGCCCTCCCCAAAAAAACCCTTTTCTCTAGGGTTTCTCGACTGAGACAACGGCTTTTTTACCTTGAAGTTTACCTTGGTGAGGCCTGCGCTTTGGCAGCCGCCGGTCTTGAGTTTGAATCCCACTGCCACCGCTCAGCACAGGGTTGATCCGACTTTCAAGCAACCCCGGATCGCTACAACCTGAGAAGACAAAAATGAAGCCCAGGTAAAAGGGGTACGAGGAGGGATCACCAGCCTTTCTGTATTCAACTTGGTTTGCTAACTTTGGAAGGATCCCCTTCCCAGGGTACCTGTGGGCAATGCTCCCTCTAAGCTGTGGAGTCTTGTGTGCAAAAATTCTACTTTCCGAGCTACTGGCATTAAAGTTGTGAGCGAGCGATTTGTCTGCTGCATGAATTAGCTTGCTCTGGAGCCCTCCTTCCTGAGTTAAGGCAAAAATGTGTGAGCCAGAGGCTGAAAAACTGTGAGCTAGCTCACGCTAACTCAGCTTAGAGGGAACACTGCCTGTGGGGTATCCTGGTTAGGGGATCTTGGGCTTGGTCTCCAGCGGCACATTTCGCCCTTGAGGCGTCCCAGCAAACGGGTCTGAACCCACCACGCCAGAGTGTTAAACTAGGACCATGCTTCAAATCGCTGCTTGCCATGAACCTTATCGTGTGACCCTGGAGAGCTCACTCACCCTAAGCAACATCACAGGGTTGTTGTGAGGAGACAACAGAGGAAACCCTTTTAACACCTAGCTTGTGCCTTGGTCTCTAACACCTAGCCTGCTCCTTGGTTACTAACACTTAGCCTCTGTCACAGGAAAATCTCGAGCAGAGTGATTTCTAGACGATGCACTGAAATAAGCCATCTTGAATAACTATCTCCAGCACCTTATGAAACTATTTTAATAATGAATAATGAATTGTTTTTATATGATTTTATGTTGTTTTAACTGTATTAATGCACTGACTGTGAGCCGCCCTGAGCCTGCATAGCGGGGAGGGTGGGGTATAAATGTGATTAATCGAAATCGAAACCCTGTGTACACCAATCCAAGCTCCTTGGAAGGAAGGCAAGACTCAAATCAGGAACTGGGTTTTGAAGCACTCAACAAATAATGCTAATTATCGCTTTTTAAAAAGTGTTATCCGAAATGTTTTACAAGTCATTTTAAGAGCTGTGAAATTTCATTTACAGCCAGGTGTGCTTAAGCAGGCTCTGTCCCCGTGAGCAGGCCCACTGGTTTGCCTAAGGAGCCGGATGCTGGAGGAGGAGCTTATTGCGTGTCCATTGCCTAGGT